AGGAGTTAGGAGGGGTAGAGGTAGACCTAGATTAGATTACTGTTCGCAAATAGTTAAGGATGTGGGCTGTTCTAGTTTTAGGGAAATGCGAAGTTTAGCTCAGGATAGGAAAGAGTGGAAGTACGTGTCCAACCAGTCTTAGGACTGACGACGAAATATTGGAAAATTTAACCCGCTCGTAATCACATTAAAAAGAAGTCCCCCTATCCTAGATTTCTGGACGATTACTATTAACAAAAACATTCACAAATTCTAACTTTCTATTAATATTAAGAAGTAACAGAATTTGCTTACATTATGTGATGTTTAATGACAAAAGTAGGAACTTTTTTAGTCTGGGTGTATTATCTCTTTCAATGCAGTGTCTTTTTTGAATGGTTTTGTAAACGAATTCGTTTATTTAATAGAACGTATCAGATCAGACCTTATGTAGTTGTTAGGAGATTGGGTAATGCAGTTTAAAACGCATAAGTGGTTCACCTCTCAGATTCGGTTTTTTGTTCTTTCGCGAGAAATATGGAAACTACGTAATGGTGCACACCACGTGTAATATGTAGTTTATTCGAAGGCTAAAAGCTTTTGTTATTAGATGCAAATGAGAAACGCATATAACGCGAAAAGATCATAAAACGATTTCACTACTGATTAAAATCATTTAAAACAAACCACACGCGTTGTAAAAAGTTTGTATTGTTTTTTTTTATTCGATTATGGTAACGTGCCTATCACGTTGAGGTTAGCTGCGCCGGGATTCGTTTCAGCAAGTAAATATCCATATATTTAAATGGACCTTGTTGGAGCATACGTAATCCTAAAATGTAGCATCGTACTACAGATGGCGTTTACCGCGCCATTTGTGGTATTTTCTAAAACGCACTGTTAAGACAGCAGGTAAAAGTTGGTCTGTGCTCTGTCGGAGCTGTCTGCGACGCGCTGATGAGATCCAAAAAGATCGAAATCGCGATCCGCGTCTGGCAGTTTCGACAGAATACAGAATACAGACCACTTCGAATTATTTTATTCAAGATTGTATCGTAATAAAATTAACAGGAATTTTTAAATGCACAAAAGAATTTTGGGTAGGTATATACATATGTTGGAAAAATGAAGTAAATGTATTATGTACAGCTTGTACACATGATTTTTCCTTATAAAACCGATTAAATGAAAGCACATCTCAAGAGCAGATCCATCACTTCTTGTTTTCTATTTTCACTTAAATGTTATTCCTTAGGGCAGTGGTTTCCAACCTTTTTGTACCTGCGCCCCCCTTTAAAAAAACAATTGTTGCGCCCCCTTAATTTACCTAACAATCTAATTTTATAAATACTCTACTGATATTATAATTTATTTAATGGGCTACAAAGTAATATAGGATATTATGTAAAAATGTACATAAAATGGATGGATGTTTTAGCATTTGTACCCGAGAAATTCGCGGCGAGGATTGTGGATTAAG